TCCACTAATTGATTAATTAACAATTTTAATTATAATAAGTCTGATTTAAAAAAGCCAACAATGTTCAACATCGTTGCGTTTGAAAAAGCTATTTTATTCCCGGTTAAAGGGGCTATAATTGATTAAATAAATGCACAGTCAACACGTAAATGTAAATTTATGCTACACATATATTGCCTTTTTAATTTAACTAGGGAATTTCAAGCAATTTCTTCACCTCGTGTAAAAAGTTACGCTTCAAAAAATGCTATGCATGCTAGAAAAACAAATTTGCCTGAATCAACATTAAAACATCATTTTATTAAGTTTAATCAGGATATTGAAACGGGCTTTATTAACAAACCAAAACTCTCCTGGTGTTTAATCAGAAGCTAATGACTTTAAACAGAAATCGATATATATTCCCTCTGAAGTGATCAATATTGCAACCTCACCACTACTAAGCAGAAATCCACCCTACACCAATGTAACTTTCCTATTTTCACCCTTGTGAGCTTCCGACTGATGTGAATAGATGGCGGAGTACGGGAGTCCTATTGAAGGGTGACTATTGATCCATCCTTGACCAGAAGAGATTGGGAGAATCAAAATGTTTCATCTATGGAAGCTGATATTTGTTGGGATGTTCGAATGGTGCATATAGGGGATTTTTGCGGAAGGAAATTAAAATATCTACATAGAACACGAAGGATCTAAATATTACGATACTTTCTTATCGGTTTTCTGATTGTTTTCGTGTAAAAGTTTTGATTTCATATCAGAGAAAATTAAAACTCGAGTCAGTGGCTCGGAGCATTTGAATACTTAAATTAATGGATAAAGATCTATAATACTTTTTCATCAGCTATTTAGTCGCAGTTTGCCATATAGTCAGTAATAAAATGTGCGACGCAGTCAATACTTCAAATTTTTTTTGATGATTTCAGAAGTTTGGATTGATAATTTTAGTTTTGATTAGTTCCAGTTTTAAAAAGATATTTGTCTTAGAGCATGCACCGCAAATATATCCTGGGCGTATTCAGTAAATTGTAACTTTTTGCTTCTTTGTACTGAATTTGGGTTTCACCTAAGAGATAACTTGTATATATGAATACTTTTTGGTTTTACTTATGTGGGACAAATACGTGTGAGTACATGAAGAATGTAGTGTAATCAAGTAAATATGGGTTTCGATGGTATTTCCTCAAATTCAAAAGTCAAAGAAAAGGGCTCAAGTTCCGGAAACGACCCAGAAAATATTTTCAGTAACGATTTGAACTTTTTTTCTCCGTTTTTTACAACCAAATTCCGTCATGTGCTACCAACATTTGAGAATCATAGTTTACGTGTTCAACACGAACAGCAACATTATTACATTTTCCTCACTTTTTGAGCGATTCCATAATGTTTTTGTGTACTCTGGGATCCCGTTGGTTCAGCTTCATCTCTACCATCGTAGCGAGAAAACGTTATAATAAAATAACGTCTATAAGCTAGCATTAACTGTTACGTCTTACGTCAACTTTAAATTAGTTCGCTTTTTTCTTACGTTTTAAGTTACATCGACTATAAATCCAGCTTTAACTTGTATGTACTTATTCATGTGTTATTGCAATTATTTTTATAGTGAAGAGCACAATAGTTTGCCGTGGTATTAGGAGCAGAACGTGCAATTTTCATGCTGAATCTGTAGTTCTAGAGCCGAAATAGAGCTTGCAGAAATAGGTGAAGCTCAAAAAGCAGTTTTTCCTTCAAATGGAGCACGATATTTTTTCTCGAAAGTTTAAAAATCATGTCACATTAAAAAGGGTTTATTAAAAAAAGTCTCACAAGACTGACAAAACGTTGTGATGACATGGACTCTCAGCAAGCACGATCTCACATAAAAATAATCTAAATAGGAAATTAAGCCCCTTAAGGAAATTGAGCTGCAGCAAAAGGACCTACTTTTACTGCTGCTGTAGTTGTCCAGCATCCACCGTCCTAGAAAGTCTACGTTTTTTGTTTGGAACGACGTATAGCAATAACGTTTTTCTGACTTTTAGAAGTCAGAAATTTTTTTAAAATTTATTTATATTTATTTTAGTATTCACACTACTCGATACGACAAAGAGCCGGGTACAAAAATAACTTTTTATTATATAAATATATGTACTTATTAATTTTCTTCTAACTAATTCATTTGGCGTGCCTTAATTTTACCGAGCATCGTTCGTTTTGAAGTACATTTTCGAATTATCTTTCGATTCCTCATGCCGATGTCGATTAGTATCTTCAACAGCTCCAAGATGCATAGATTTGTTAACTTTTCAGTTGCAGCACAACTAAATTATATGACGCAAAGCTATTTTCCGATGTAAAAAATCTCGAAGCTGAAATGATAAAATCCATGTAAATGTAAAGTGTATTCGTTTGTGGCTGGAACACCCACAGAGCAAATGAGACTTTCCATTTTGGGGTCGATATCAGAGTTTCTAAAGACAAACAACCTATTACCGTAAGTCTAAGACAATCCTCTTGAATATCTCGACATTAACGCACGCATAAACAATCCTCCAAATGCTGCCATTAGCAAAATGCGCTGGGGTCAGAAACCTTTCTGGCTTTGGCGAGGTTTTCGTCTCGACGGGATCATTATAAATTTAGGGAGAATCTCATTCCAAATAGTTTATGTTATAATTTATTAAAGTAATACTAAAATTAAACACCAACGTGTCGAGTTAGATTACATTTTGTTATACTCTTGCTTTTGACTTGTCAATCTCCAAATCCTCAAAAAGGATGAGTTTACGTCAAAAAGTTCTAGAAGGGCACATGGGATACATTTCCTGTTGACAGAAAAATATTTAACGTCATGAAAAGTGTATATGGAAATTTACAATTTAGAAAAAAAAATTGTAACTAACGCATACACAGAGGTACAAGAATGGATGATACCCTAATGCAAAATGGCGTGAAACTTTGCGGTTGTAAAACGACAAACAGATTATTATTATTGGGTAATATAAAGGTTTATTGGCCATTTAGAATGTCGTATAAAATATATTGCCTGCTACTATTTGAGTAATAAATTCGTTAAGTGTCGTTTGTGTAAAACTGTGTTATATTTAGTCGTTTTGAAGATAGGCAACGACTTGCAATTGATGGTTCTGATTTCATGAGCTTGTTTGAGTTTTGATTATCACGGATGATATTTATTTGCGATGTCTTGATTTTCTGTATACCAACCAATTGCCACATAGTTTAAAAATCCATTTTATTTGTATTGATTAATTCAGGCTTGATATTCGTTGAATAATACAGCGTGTTTTATGATAGGTGTTCCTCCATATTTCATTCTGCATATAAAATCATTCTGCTCCGATATGTTTTAGGATATGAAGGTGATAAAAGTTCGTTTAAAAGTTATAATGTTTTATATTTCAATAGTTGCTGGAATCTTAATCAAATTTGTCACCAAATAGACATTTTTAACAATTAATTTAAATTAAACTTTGTTTACAGTGCCGTGGGTATTGTTTCGATTAAATAGACAATTGCAAACATTTTTTACTGAACTTAAAACTTCTCTGAGACAAATATAATAATGATCGAAAACGCCTCAGTCTTGAAGAATAAAACAAATGTTTTTATTTATTTTAGAATCGATAGAAACAAAACTTAATTAACCAAGCTACATTTACAACTACAAACTTAACGTTACTTTTCACGTCATTTAAAATTTGAGTTTATTTCTGGGAGACCTTCTTACCCATGCAATCCCAACTTTGCCATTAAGCAGTATTTTAAACTAGCTCAAAATGGTCATTGGCAAATTACATATTTTTCTTTAATATCAAGCTACGATATAAGATTTAGGCATTATTGCTAGCAATGAAAACTGACGTTGTGAAATCAGGTGAAGTTCATTTGTAACCTCTGAAATTAACTTATTTGAATTAGGTATTCGATTATGGGATGAATCAAACTAATTGTATTAATTTCACCACGACAGTCGAATTCATCTTCACAAAGAGGAAGAGAAATATGCGGTTAAATACACTCAAATAAATGTAAGACGAGACGATTTGCCAGCACATTACCTAACTGGTCTTGGGTTAGTTTGGTTAGAGGGAAAGAAACAACAAACATGAATTTTCCGATATTAAAGCTGGACGTAATGTGACGCATGCCCTTAGGACCAAGCAATTCAAATTAAAAACGAGTAAGAAAAACGAAAGATTTTTTTGAAACCCAAAAGCCACATAGATAATCAATGAAAAATAATTCTTAATATCGAACTAAGACGAAAGTTTCTTTTTTTGAGTGAACTAGTAGTTGTTTTTCTCTGGTTCGCACAGGATTGACGAAAATGTGGTATAAAAGAACTGCAAGAACAATTGATGACTTCTACTTGTATAAATTCTTACAAGATTGATTGGTATCTCTTATATCACTTGATGTGTCTAGCTCAACATATCGAAATTGGGATTTTTATCGAATTCGGTCAACAGTGTCAAAGACATTTTTAATTTGATTAAATGAATCGAATCATTATTTCGATTTTTAAATGCGAGCTATTAGTTAACTCTGGAAATCTCGATTATAAAAAATCGACTACTTATTTGCATCACTAGATCACTAGACGTGGCATCACCCTGTAAATTGTGTAAATATTTTGGAAAAACTTTAAAAAAGTAGTTTTTTAGATAATCCTATATCGCTCTATACATCCCAAATAAACACTTTCTGGGTGTTTCTCTAGAGCCACTTTTATGATTAAAAAGTTTAAAATTCGAAATCAAATAATCCAGAGGTAGGCCATCTCCACGAACATCGCAAATAAGTATCTAAATATCTCAAATGTTTGCTTCCTTATAACTTGACATTAATATTAACATTAATGCTTGCTAAACTTTAGTTAATTGTACCATAATCACTTCGACTGTGCAATAGCTATTAATTAACAGCAGTTACTATATAAATAAATAACACCATTTCTGACTGACCGTTTTAAATTAATACAAGTTTTTCCGTTTCAGGTAAATCTTCGGCATGGTCCGGCTGCAAAGGTAAGTCTTTAGACCCATAATAATCATTATCAAAGCCACAACGCCATGGGGGTGCCCATAAAATTGATGACCGCTGGGTAATTTAAAACAAGAGCAAAGGGCCCATTTTTTTGTGAAATGGTGGAGGCGAGTAAGTCTTTACGTCGGCGTTATGGCATATTTCGGACCAGTAAAACACGACTAAAGTGACAATCGCCACGGGCGGTGTTTAGATAAAACTAGAGAGGTCGAATGCTATCTACTTATTGTGCATACGATCAGGTCAGGGGTGTCTTCAGCTTTCAGCAATTTAATACCCCAGATACCCCAAATATTTAGAGAGTACTATTTTGAATTTGGTTAAGCCGCAAGAACTCTTTTTTTAAATTTGAACCTCCTTACAACCGACTGGATTCATGCAGGCAAAGCAATTAAGATTTCAGGTTTTCAAATCTGGCAGTATTGAACACTTTATTACATATACATATATACTATATACATATATGCTATAATACAACTTTCTGTTGAGCTGAGTTGATAAAGTAAAACACCACTTCAACTGGCGTTTTTCTCTCGATTACTGTTAAATTCAGTAGCAGATTATAAGAAACAATTTCGTTGAAATCTGACATTTTTCCGAATACATACCTGTTCTGAAGTCTGGGTCTGGGCTGCGCCCCAAATCTGAAGCTTTTGTTTCCTTTTTGATCTGGTGGCCAGAACCTGCCGATTTCCTTGCATATCAGCAAAAGTTGCACGCATTTAGAGTAGATGGCGCGATGAGATTCCTACTCTATTTGGACTTGGTAGATCAAAGTGAATTATTTGTTCTGCTTGCAGTTTGCAATGCAGTGGTCAGGTTAAAGTAGAGTGACTGCGTGAACAGACAGCTCTAACTCTACCCGTAAAATGCCACCATTGTTTGAACAGACTTTTGGTTTCTGATCAATCACTAGCTTGAATGCCACACGTAGAAGGTTTCTTTTTCAACCTCAGAAAGAAAGTTAACTTTCTTTAAAATGCGCAGTGATTGATATTATCAGTAGCATTTTACTCTCTGTAGTTTGTCAATACCTAAATTATTCGTAGGGCTTCATATAGGTTCACGTTTTCTTAAAGGAAAAAAAGGGAAACTAAAAAAAACATGAGAAAAGAAATGTTTAGTGGAAAAGTAGATACCAATTTACACAGTTCCACTTTATCGTGCACATCATGTGAAGTCATCGTCACAAAGCGACTGGAAAGTTCAAGAAAAATTGCCGCAAGAGAAATAAATCAAGCAAAAGGAAGAAAAAACGTCTTGCACTCAGCAAGTTCTTTTTAATACCTAAACCAGTTTGGAAAAAATCTTTGGACGGGACAAGAAATAATAATATTTGGAATATACTTACTCACTTAAATTTGCAGCAAATTTGATCAACATATTTAATAGATAAATTAAACTTAAAATTAGTAGTAAGATAATTTAATAATTATTAAATAAAAATGCTTGCAGTTACTTTTCATTGAATGTCTATAGGCTTAATGAGCTACGATTCAAGGAAACATCTTCTACCTTGTGCTCTTAGGATGTACAATAAAGGATGGACGTATCCGTTGACAAAAACGTATTTTCGTATAAAGTACTCAAAAAAAAATTATTTAAAGTAATTTCCTGGAAATTATTTAAGCAAATTGGCTAATTTTTAGAGGTTTATTCAGGATGAGTGGATCCAATGACAGAAGTTCAATTAAAATAGGACAATATTAATTATTCCTGTATTCAGTCAGTAGGAATACTTGTAATTCAGCCATTTTGAAAAATAGGTATTGATTTACTATACAGGGTGATCTAGGTTTAATCTTGATGATTTCAGGAATCGATAGAACATGTTAGAATAATGCCCGTATATGATGTGAAAAATCTCTTTCAGTTGCCTCGCTTCGGATATAGAGAGCGCTGAAATAAGCTTTTTTCAAGTTTTTAGTCATCAATTTTGAATCACTCATCTGATTAAAAAATAAATTCCGAACACATATGTACAGGGTTACTGATTGAACTTTGGCCACGCCATTTGAAGATCTAATTTGAAATTTAGAGAAAAATGTTAAATATAAAAGCTGTAGAGATTAACGTCTAGTTTATTTTAAGATAGTAACAATCGATACAGGGTATCTCAAATTCAAGAAACAGACCAAAATTACAATTTTTCTTATAGAATACCGTACTTTTATTACATTTTCGAGCTATTCGTATAATTCTAGGCCTATTGGATATTGATATTGAACAATTTTTGTGTTAATAACCAATATTGAGCGAACTATGACCATCTCGTTTTTGCATCTAATTCGAGATTGAGATTAGATTAGTTTGAGACTGATATTTACATCATTTTGAAATTTAGAACAATATATTAGAGGCAAAAGTTGTAGATATTAAGAGCCAGTTTATTTTAAGATAATAACAATTGCTACAAGGTGTCTGAAATTCAAGTGACGGACCAAACGCATTTTTTTAAATGGAACGGCCGCCGAATAATTAAACGGTTATTAATTCAAAAACACTTGCAGGTCAATATGGAAAATTTGTATCCGAGAAGCGAATATAATTTTGCGTATCCTTCGAATATGCAATAAAAAGTGCACCATTCTATTTTAAAAAATGGTCCACCATTTGAATGTGGGGCAACCTGTATCAATTGCAATTATTTTAGTTTGTATTGTTTGTGATTATCATAGTTTGGACTCGCACTTGAATTTGAGATACCCTGTATCAATTAGGACTATCTTAGACTAAACTAGACTTTAATATCGACATCTTTTGCATTTAACATTTTCTCTAATTTTCAAATTAGATGCACAAACGGGATAGCCAAAGTTCAATCAATCACCCTGTACCTACACTTCTAATGAATAATAATAGCTATATTATTATAATAATTATAATCACCCTTACGAGTCACGTGTCAGATAACGTCAGTAATTATTTTTGCCCACCATGTATATTCAACCGTTTATTGAACGATCGACGGGTGTTTTACTGAAAGAGATGAGGAAAAGGAAAAAATGAGGAAAAAGAACATATCGATATAAAGATTCTTTCGTTCCGCGACTGTTTAGGGACCATTTTCAGCACTAGTGCGGTTCGGTGTGCACTGCAGAATAAAATAAAATATGTGATTGAAAAGTTGATTCTAATAATCACAAACTGTACCTTTTTTGTTAACGGTTTAAACATTTTGACTGTTTTTGTCTTTAGAAGAACTACTTAGCAAATAAAAAAAATCCTGATGATTCTAGGCCTATTTGAACCCTTGATGTTGTACCTTGATTAGTAATTTGATACACACTAAACAAATTCGAATTCAAAATTTATTAAAAATATATATGTAAACAGAAAATTATTTGTCAATTTACAATCAACAGAAATCCACATAGCATACCGTACATGTAGATTCATACCTAAAACTAGCACTTAAATCATTTTCCCGAGAACTCAACTTTTGAGAAAGTATCTGAACAAATGTGCTCCTGTGTATAGTAATATATTCTCTGGATTTTTTATTAAACAAATTGAAGTTATTTATTGATCTTTTTATACTTGGCAATGAATTATACAATTTTGGGGCTACACAATTAAGAAACTTAAGATGAATTGTTCGATTATTTTTTTCAGGTAGAGCAAGAAAGTTGTTAGCTATTTGTCTTGTGTTGTGGTTATGTTTTACATATGTTTGAGTACTTTTGTTCTTATGGGTAAATGAGCATGCTGAATGTATGTATAGCAATGATATGTCGCTAATTTATTTGTTATACAACTCTCTAGTAGGATATAGTTTGTCCTTTCTGTAAATTATTCTTAAAATATAATTTTGAACAACTTTTAATGGTCTAAAATTAGATTCATAAGCTCCACCCTATATTATAAGGCCATGTCTAAGCAATGATTCTACTAACGATTTGAATACTGGTATGAGTAGTTTTCTGTCCAAAAAATCTCGAAGACCATAGAACTTATGAATGAGTCCTCGAAGTTTGCCTGTCAAATAGTGTACATGTTCTATCAATTTCAAATTTTGGTCCACTATGATTCCTAGATATTTTACCTTTGACAAAGCCTTAATTTCAAGGTCTCGGTTTATTTGGCTAACCAGGCTAAAATGTGGCCTATTAGCCGTTGTTATACTGAACGGGATAAAATGGGTTTTCGTGACATTTAGTGATAATTTATGTGAATCCAGCCATTGTTTTACCACATCCATCCCGTCCATTGCCTTCCTTCTAACCCCATCCCCCGAAACCCCTGAAAAGATCAATGCTGTGTCATCAGCATAGGATACAATCTTGCCATTCATGTTTTACCCCAGCAGAGAATCAATATAGGTTATAAACAAAATGGGCCCCAAAATTGTTCCCTGTGGAATGCCCATCTTAATGTTTAGTGAAGAACTTATTTGGTTATTGACTTTAACATATTGTTCTCTGTTACTTAAATAACTCTGAAAAACACATTATTTTAATTGGCTGGGTGCTCAGGGTTGCGAAATTATTCTATGAATGCAATTAATTAATTAATGCGAAAGGCATTAGAATATAATGGCGCAGTGAGTACCTAATTAGAAATTCAAATGTGTGGAAATTAAACGAAATTACTCAGATAAGAGACATTCGCGAAAAACCCATGTATCTGCCAGAGCGGAATCGGCTATCATGTTCCTAATTACTTATTGGACTGATAATGGAGATTGCAGCAACAATTAGATGAAAACGTGTGCGAATCGTGCAGTATCAGACGCTTAACCGGTTGAAATCCAGCCACGGTAGAAGCGGCAGCAGCATGCAGCAGCAGGATGATCCGGACGGCGTGGCGAAGGCAGGCAGGTCGGGCCGCATGTTTTGCGCAGTGTTGCCATTGGCTCGGGCCGCACCTGCTCCGATTGGCGCCTCATGGAGGGGTGCGCCATTACGATCTCTAGTACCGCGGATAAGGCATAGAGGGCTATAGACTGCACATACATGGGTCATAAAGGATTCGAAGAAGTAGAGGAGAAGGACGCGTAAGAAAACACTCTGGGTTAAACGAGTGCCGGCGGTCGTAAAACAGCGCGGCGCGAAATTGCTAACGTTCCGATGGACTATGGTAATCAGTGCGCGGTGCGGGTGCAGTGATCAGCCCCCAAAGCGATGAGTTCCAAATTCATCATTGATAGCATGCTCCCGAAGTACCATCAGCAATTCCAGCATCAGCATTTGTTCCAAACGTCCCCGGTCAATACATCTTCAATCGAAGCTAGTCTAGCTTCCGTTGTTAATTACAGTTCGTCCGCCGGTTCTCCAAGTGGTTCCTCGCCCCAACACTCCAACAGCAGCGCTTCGTCTACATCTCCAGCTTCCAGAATGTACCCATACGTGTCAGCTGCCACAGCTGCAGCTCACCATCACCATCAGCAGCAAGCGGTAGCTGCATTTAACGCTGCAGCAGCTACCGGATCAATGGTACCTGGAGGATTTGCCTCAAGCGCCAGTTCAGCCGCTTTGGCTGCCGCTGCCGCTGTAGATGCTGCAGCAGATAAATCATGCAGATACACGGCCGGGCTGACAGGCAATGTGGCACCCACAGATTCAATGGTAAATTACACATTGGGACACCATCACCAGAATGGTGCGGCGGTGTCTGCAGCTAGTTCAGTCAGCGCTGCTTCAGCTTCAATGGCTGTCGCAGCTCAGTTTTATCACCAAGCTGCCAGCGCGGTTGTTGACCCATTAAACTCATGCTCACAGCCGACGGCTCCTGGAGGACAGCCGATTCCTGATATTCCCCGATATCCTTGGATGTCAATCACAGGTATGTAAACAATAATACCAACTGATACCAATTATATCAGCTAAATCACTGCGAATTAATATATTTGAGATCATCACAACAAGCAGATCTGATCTATTGGTATTCGTTGAGATTTTCAATTGAAGCACTATTCCAAACATTTTAAAGGTTTAATTATAGTGATCATAACTTTAGCTAGATACTTAGGTACTAATAACTACTAATCCCACAAACGAAGAAGCGATGGCATCCCAACCAATAGTAACAGCAAGCTTTCCGTCGCATAGGCTGCAGTCGCTAATACATATGTATAAATCGCAGGCAGCGCTCGCAGGAATTTTTTTATGGTCTTTAAGCATGCAACATTTTGCCTGCAAATATTTAAAATGAAATGGTCTGTGTCAAATGATGGTTTCGCGTAAATTTATGCAGCTTCAACCCTTACAGATAAATCAGACATGCGCACTAGAAGTTTTAACGCAGCGCAAAAAATTTCATTTGCATTCTATTAGCTTGAGGTCAAGCAATTAGCGTTTCTGTTTTAAAATTCTTTTTTCTTAGTGCGTCATCTGAAAAGGGAAATTCGAAGAAAAATTTATGATAATTACCTATGCTTAAATTACCGGTTGCCTTTTAATATCCTCAATCACCAAAATATTTGAAAAAACGTGATCCCGCGAAAGGAATATTTCGGATAAAAAGTAAATTTTTGAAAAATATTTTTTTGTGTTCAAAAAGCATAATATTTGACGAGGTTTGACGAGGGATTCGCATAATACCTATCCAAAACGGGAAATATTCGATCTGAAACATTAATTTGTGATCGATTCGATTTATTTTTAATCTACTAACGAAACACTAAGAATTGTAAAAGAATCCTAAAAAACTTCAAACCTGGCCCTAAAATTTTAAATATCCAAATGGATTTATTTGAGTCACGACAAGACATATGTTTTGATTAACAATAATTTTTTTGTAGACGACAACACAACTACTGAGATTCACATAGTCTACGAATTCTGAATGATTCTCGCTTCATGTACGTTTTTAAAAAATTATCTGAAAAATTTTCTAATCTAATCTAATTAAAAATTAAATTAAAAAATCTAATCTAATTAAAATTAGTCCAGTCCAGCGCCTTCTCTCGCAAAACCCAAAAATTTATTATGTAAAATAGGATTCTCAATTTTTGGAGTGTTTATTTAATTCCGCTACAAAAACTATAATTGGCTCTTTGAAATTCTCGAATTGAAGTAGGAGAACTTCAATCATCGGAGAAATCATTAGGATATTTATCTTTGTGTAAGCAGAAGCATAACTTTTTTCGAAATACAGCTGTTTCAGAACAAAAAAATCACCCGGTATATTGATGGCTTCCTAATTTCCATTCACTTTTTAATTCACATATGCACAACTTCATCTCTAATTTATATCGTAAAATTTTTCGATACTAAACCATATTGATTTTTGATTCTATTATCGATCGGTGTGAATAGATGTTTAGCGACCTGACCCACATCGTTCGGACCACAAAAACAGTTTTGTTCCAATAAAAAATATCTAATGACCGTTTTCCAGATATATTTTCGGCAGCTGTAAATCCATGTTTATTGATCGTAAAATGTTAAAAATTATCTACCAATTAATTCTTTCTTTTGCCTTCCCTTATCTTTAGCACTAAAAAATCGAATTTAAATTGTTTTAATGTTGCTGGTCAGCTGCAGAATGAATGAGAAAGAAACTCATCAGTCTCTAAACGCATTGACACGCTCTCTATTTATGTACATATGTGTATATATTTATTTTTTGGTTGACTATGTAAAGCAAGCTATTAAGAACACTATAAAATTTCATATCTGGTTAGTTCTAATATAGTTTGATTTAAATTCCCTTTCTGAAGAATTGCCGCCATTAATAAGCAATTATTTAGCCAACGAATAGATAAAGCGTGTTGCGTTATCCAAATTATCATACCAGCTTGTATATTTTACGAAAAACTGAAACTATTGACTACTTTAAATATTTTACCGGGACTTCAGTTGAATGAAAGTTGTACTCATCATAGGTTTGAATATTTTTGATCGTTCTTCTGCCAGTTTTGTCCCGAATTTCCATATACAAATTATGTTTTATTAATTGATATTTGTTATCAGGGTTTTGACCGAGATAAGTGCATCTTGCTGTGATCTAGTCTCATTCTCATATGAAAATTACTTTTTCATTCCGATTTTTCTACCTTTAGCTGCGTGATTTGGCCCTTAAAGTGAATTTTAACCCCCTTTTACAGTGAAATTATGAGCATATTCAGATGCGCTTAGTGGAGCATAAAAACTTAGATGATTTCACCATAAACAAACAATTTTTATTGAGGTAAAAGTTTATGGGCACTTAAGAATGTTTTACAATCTTTTTATTGGCCAATATTTATACACTAACTTCTGTGGCAGCTTTTTATCGCCATTTTTCTTAACTGTAACCATTTCGACAATTAATTCGTTTTAAACGGTAGTAAAGGTTTTATGTATTTTGGAGCTGCTGCCTATTTGTGAACGGGGTAGAGTGGATTTTTACACAGTTTTTGACGCTTAGAATCCATCGTAGAATAATATTTCACAGAAAATACTATGCGTTCAAAATCCAGATTTTAAGCAGCCTTCTGGTCAAATTCAGCTTCGGCTACTGTCTGTCTTCAACCAAATCCCTACTTTAATTAAGAGATTATAGTGTTGTACCTACAATACAACGGGCAATGAGTAATGTTGTCGGCACACAATTTATGTTTGCATTATACAAATCTAAATTGCCTCTTAAATAACGATTTATGGCTAAATAATTGTTGAAATAAATGGGTCATTTAAATAAATTAGCCCTTGCTTGTAAGATATTATTTGGAACAGATGAACGGAATAACAAATTAAATGGTGACCGCAGTGCTTTGACTATTCCAATCAACTATCACTTGTTGAGAATAATTGCTCTAATAGGATAGGTTTTATTGGAATGACTCACTTTGCTAATTGTTATAAATTATCGTTTTAAAATGAATTATTTTTTATATGAAAAATGTTTGGAATAGTTGTAGTTGAAGGCACATAAGCAAAGTTGTATTCGATGTATTAATGTTATACATTTTTTTTAGACTGGATGAGTCCCTTTGATCGGGTCGTCTGTGGTGAGTACAATGGTACATATTTTTCATTTTCTTATTTTAGTTTAGTTTAGTTTTAGTTTGATTTCTATATTCCATTCAATTGCAATTAATTGCTTTAATTGATATTTATTTTAAATGACATAATCGAGAAAATAAGCAAAAACAGATTCGAGATTCGTTGCCACAATATTTTACAATGATAACATGATTTTGCTACCGCAAGTGTATGTTAAAGCTTGATAAGTTTGGTCTACTATTTCCCAATAATTGAGAGAAACTAAGACCGTTTGCTGTAATATACAGAAATGTGATTTATCTGTTTTTCCCAGACATGGTCGTGTAGGTATGCATGAATTATTGATATAAATGTCTTCTAAAAGGTATCCTACAGTTACGTATCATTGCTCTCAAGGGCATTCAACACACGTTCAATACCTTCTTAGAAACTGAAAGTATTCATTGTCGGTGTTATGAAACTGTATTACGCTCGAAATCCGTATCATAAAATATTTATAGATAATCCAGATCAATCCAATGTGTCCAGACACTAAGCTAAATGAATTTTCTGATTTCAACTGCAACATTCAACGGTTATTTGGAAATTTGTTTATATGACATGCGACAACAAAAGCCCATAAAAATATGAAAAAGAATCATACAAACTTGAGATTGCCACGTGCACAAAGACTAGAAGAATAAGATTTCTGTGTAATCGATATTTTTTGTGTCGTTGACATTGTTTCGTTTTACTGCCGTCCAACAAAACACTGAAAGTTCCTCAAGGATTGCTAGCGATATGTGGGCTAAATTAGGATAAATTAAAGATTTAATCAGTGTAAATGCAGTAGAATGAATTAATAATGTGTAAGGAATTTGAAAGGTTTAATTCCTGGTCAGTGTGGTACAACACGCTGAGACCAATTCAATAAATCAATCAAAAAATTCAATCATTTTTAGTTAAACTTTATCTTTAAATTCCAATAATCCTTTATCACATAATAATTTCAAGAAAATTAAGCGTAATGCGTATTATTTTAAATTTCTCCAACAAGTAGGTGCATTTTGGATAAGCTTTATATGGTTGAAACAGATACTAATGTACAAAACGTCCTTTCACGCATTTGCACAGAACAACTGTTTCTAATTAGTTATTAATGACCGAATTACTCTTTTTTCTAATAACCATACGTTTTCGAGCGAAATGAATCCTCAAATGAAAAGTTTCCTAATTAATTTGTATTTGTTGTCGTTTTCAACAAAAGATTCAATAGATGAAATAGAAGAAGGGCGTTTTCAAGTCAGCAATAAATATGTATTAATATTGCAGGTTGATAGTAATAGTTCGAAAATTATATCAACGTTGTATTTCATCTGTTGTCTGTAGTTGTCGATTGAGGTAAATTTTTATTTGGAATAGAACTGGTTTTTTGCGATCTACTATCCTACACTTATCACTATTCCACTCCTGGTACAAATCAAAATTTAACCGTCCGGACTATTAACTGTTAAATCCAGAAAATCAATAAAAAATTAGTAGATTCGAGCGACTGAACTGAATGGATTTAACTTGTTCATGTCCTTTAAAATCCACTATGAGCGGTTCTACGGAAATTTATCAACCTCTATCGATTTATACTGATTATCGTTATCGTACTACTGTTATATCAGACGAATTTACGTGTTGTGATAGAAATATGTTTATGACTTAACATATAAATTACGCTATATGAAATATCTTGCTTGCCAAAAAAACTGGAATATGAAAATAAATGCAAAAATTCATGCTTTTTCAGCCAATTCATCCGATTTCAAACGGAAGATATCAGAGTGCATTTTCAAAAGTCCTTCATAAATCGTTCTCTCATCGAAATTCGTATATCCAAATCAAATTATATTGATCTGGTACCTACAAGTCAGATATGATTACGATGTTTTTTTCCACAAAACACTTTGTCATCGACCTTAAGGTTGATAAAAGGTTCATCAGGTCCATTTTAGAATACTTCGTGACATAAAGTCTGTGACCTGGCTTATTATTATTCTAGAATTTTGTCAAAATATTTGGATTTTAAGTAATGAATTCCGTTGCAATTTCGGTAAATGCTTGGAGTCAAAAATCAGTTGTACGTACTAATTCGAAATTGATTTGCCAGAGCTTAGAATTCAGCACGAGCTTTCGAATTACTGAGCGCACATAATTATCCTTCATGAATTCTAAATGAGTTATTTGGAATTCTACATTTTTGTGTAAGTAGTGTTATCCAGTTCCTAGAAATCCATTTTTTAAACAAATTCACACATTTCCAACTATTGTAATTGATAAATTATGACTATTCGTTAGCTTGCCACTCAGGCGGGCAGCTCGTCGTTTGCATCCTGCATTTAAATGACCATGAACTTGTATTCCAGTAGCGTACATTTTTATTATAAATAACTTTTGTCAACAGGCCATAATGCGACGCTTTGTATTAGCACGAGTCACCATCTTGAATTACCAGATTACGACAAATAAAACATTTGAACGGCTATTTTCACTAATATAACAGTCAGTTTGTGGTTTCGGTACGAGATGATTTATGTTTTAGTTTTATGGTTATCTGAGAGCTTGTGTCACTAAATTGATTGGGTTTTAATAGAAGACAAAGAAAATTCTTTTACTTGAAGTGGAAGGAAAAATCAGTAAGGAATCCGAATTATGTGTCACGTATAACAGTTGCGTCACAGCAGTGATTTTGCAATGTTCAAGCCGTTTTAAATTAAGCCGTAAAGTTTATAGCTTCCATAATATTGCAACTCGTCGACCTTAAGGCGACAACTCGTACGCATTATTCAAAGTGCAAATTGCGTATATTGAAGCTGCGTTTTGATCTTGCAATTTTATTTAATTGTTGCTTTCGTCAATAATTTAGCTAAACATAAATTTGATATTTACAATTTATGCTAAATAATTGCCTAATTATACCACTTTCTTTATTAAAGTGCTGGTGTTATTTACAATTACATTATAATCTTTCTTTTTATATCTAATGTGAAACATAAATTATATTAAGCGAGGATGCCTCCCCCCGTGTGAATTATCTGCATGAAAAATAAGCTTGTAAATAGCGTTTTACTGAGAAGAATTGCACAAAAAAACATAAGTAATCATCAACCTGGAAATTGTCTTGTATAATATTCTAGATCTAGTTAGAACCAGATGCAGCAGTGGCAATTCCGATAATTACATGCCGACTATAATATTTATGAACATTCACTCCAGATGAGACACAAATCATAGATATCGGTGTTCTAGAGAGGCCAGAAGAGCTTGCCAAAACTTGAGACTTCTTAAAGCATGACATTCTTTATGGTTGCTTTAACAAACATGACACTTTGAAAAGGGCATGCCTGCACGAGTGCTCACACTGAAATTAATTGAGTCTAAATCGGGGAGTAAAATAAAAAAACACAAATCTCTTCAGAGTGACATAAACCATGCATGCATATTCTGATGCATGAGCTGGCGCCGTCGAAAACAACACTCAATTATTCAGAGGCCAAGAAACCAATAAGTTTAACTTTTTGAAGTATTTGCTGTTTGTTTAAGCGCTCAGGTATGAATGGATGGATTTTTTATTTTACAAACAGAAAATCAGTTGAACTTTTCAAGCACCATTTAACCGTCTGCTATTTTTGTTTATTATTCGTTTTTTAATTTCATTTTCACCAGAAGAATATAGTTATGAAGACCGATCAAATTAATGTTTTTTTTATTAGTTTTGCGTTTACGTTTACTTGCATTCAACCCTCCCAAATAAATTACATTTAACATGAAAAACTATACGGTCTACTGAATTCGTCTAGTCAAATATGTAAAGTTTTTTTTATCTCTCAGTTCAGTTCAGATCGGCCTTCAATTATTCGTAATTAAAATAATGCTATTAAGTAGCGTTTATTATTAATAATAAACAAACCTTCAATGGTGAAAAATATAGTTTGTCAATAGAGTTAATGATTATTCAGCGAAATGCATTTACAGGATTCCGAGTGCTCAAATGCGGTTCAATGTCGAAAAGCATCAACATCTTGTTTTTGCAATTTAATATGACCATTAATAATTCAATTATTATAACGGACTTGATCAATTGAAATATAATTTACAATAGATTTCCATATGCTATTATTTAATGAAAGAGCACATACTAGAATACGTTAAGTAACGGAACGTTGTCGTTTTTTTAAGATTTTGTGTTTTTTACTGATGAATTTTAAAACTGAAAAAACTACGCCCAAAAAGATACTGTGTGTTGGGAAAGTTGGAAAAATCGTCACAATATGCGAGACGCGATAGACACATACTAATAATTTGCTGAAATTTACACATGTTTAAATAATCAAAGCAGATGGCAAACTTACTATAACCGTAGTTTTCTTTACAGTCAAGAACTTTGGGAGACGGCAATATCACGCCGCTTTTGCAAAGAATATTCGGCTAGCCAGACGTCCAAGTTCTTTAAATGATCCGGTGTTGCGTTTCTTGATGCATCGTTTTTATATTTGCTTCTGTCTGATTTGTATTTCATTTAGGATATTGTTTTATTATGTTTATTTTTCTCACTCTTTCTAACCATTTCTTTAAATGCGCCTCAATTGTAATTACTATTATTATACTTATGATTTTCCTCTTCTTTAGACTCCCGTAGTTCGGTACTTCTGTCTTTTTTATTAACTAACTTATGTTGTGTCTACCTAATAGTAAAATATCATTGAAGCGCTAATTGCCTTGAAACTAAGGTATTTTTGTTCCCCGTTATTTGAATCGTTTCTTCATCCAGGAGTATTGAGTAGGAGTATGTCTTATTAGTTATTAAATTGTAGCAATTCGTAACATATTCATTATGCTGGCATTTTACCATCGAAGCCTTGAGCTTTGCTTGTGAGTAGGTTTTATAAGGAAATTCATGGTTACAACCTTAATTTAGAAAGGAATTGACTTATACATATTTTGAACATCACCAAGACCATTTTGAGAAAATAATTACATACATCTCCAG